GCCCTCTGCTGGGCTGGGTTCCTCGCCCGTCCCTGGGCTGGGTTCCTCGCCCGTCCCTGGGCTGGGTTCCTCTGCAGCTGTGGCTGTGGAGTGGGTGGGGAAGAGCCAGCCTTGGGAGAGGGCGTGCAGGGCCCCAACCACACTGCATGGCAGTGTAAGCACGCCCTTGCTGACAACACTTCTGGTATGTTCTCGGCCGGGGTGGGGTGATGGGGGGACCCTGTGCTTGCGTATTTTTTAGGTGGGGATTCTACGCCTCCAGGAAGTTAAGAAACCTTCCCAGGTCACACAGGGGGCCCATTTTGGAGCACAAAAGGGAAATATGGGCAAGCTGGCTGCAGAGTCCAGCCTGCTGCTGCTGGGCAAGGCACCCCACCCAGAACCCCTGGGCCTTTGCACAAGACTCTTCCAAAAGGTCCCAACCCCGCCTCCCACCAGTTTGAAAATGTGCTGGCCCCAGTGTTGTGGTGCAGTGGATTAAACTGCCACCTGCAATGCCAGCACCCCACATCAGAGTGCTGGTTCTCTTCTCAGCTGCTCTACTTCCAGTCCAACTCCTGTTCATGTGCCTGGGAAGGCAGTGGATGAGGACGCACTGTACCTGACCCCGTGTCGTCCATGGAGTTCTAGACTGAGACCATTTGGGAAGTGAACCAGCAGGTGGAAGCACCTTTCCTCTTTCCTTCCCACCCTTTTTTGTTATTATTTTTGTTTTGTTTTATTTTTATTATTTTTAAAAATTTTTATTGGAAAGGCAGATATACAGATAGAAGGAGAGACAGAGAAGATCTTCCATCCGATGATTCACTCTCCAAATGGCTGCAACAGCTGGAGCTGAGCCGATCCGAAGCCAGGAGCCTCTTCTGGGTCTCCCACATGGGTGCAGGGTCCCAAAGCTTTGGGCCATTATTGACTACTTTCCCAGGCCACAAGTAGGAAGCTGGATGGGAAGCGGGACTGCCAGGATTAGAACCAGCGACCATACGGATCCCAGTGCATGAAGGCGAGGACTTCAGCCACTAGGCCACCGTGCTGGGCCCCCACCCTTCCTTTTTTAACAGGAAAAACAAAAGGGAATTTGCTGAGTGAAAAGGTTGTGCAGAGGTGCTCCATGCCAGCCACCCAGCTCCCGGGGGTTGGAGCTGGAGCTTTCCAGGAGCGCCAGGTCTGCCGCCTGCTGCGTGGCGCACGAGAGGCCGGGACGTGGAAGGCTCTGCTGAGTAGCCTGTAGCTAGGTGCCGTGTGGACCCCAAGCTGGCCCCGGGAGAAGTCAGGGACAGAGTAACTCTTGACCCCACGGAACTCACTATCTGCTAAGGGAAGCAAGTCTGCCACGTGGCACTAGCCCGGGAACAGAGCAGGAGGCAGCAGTCCAACAAGCGGCTCTCCGCACACAGAGGCGCGTGCCTGAGGCTTTCACACACATGTTATTAAAATCATCGAGGACGCAGTACTGCTCCTTAGGAAGAAGTTTCCAGTATGAGCAATGGTTTGAAACTGTAGTCTGGGTGGGGCTGTGGGAGCAGCGTTGCCATGGGAACCAGCTCTTCTGCCTCTGTTAGCAAGCAAGTGGCTGCTGCTGCAAACCTTGGTGGGTGGTGGTGGGTGCCTGGAGCCATGGAGCTATTTTCCAGAGAAGTGCTGAGCTGGGGATATGATGGGGGTGGCAGAGCATGGGGGCACACTGGCCTGTTTCATCCGGCTAGGAAAGAGCTGAGTTGGCCGTGAGAGTTTGCAATGGAGCAGAAATGAATCGTGGCACTCCAGGGCACAAGGAGAGAGAAGGAGTCTGGGCACCCGCTGTGGCCTGGGCAGATTCCATCGTTTTCTTGCAGGCTTAGAGCAGGCCTGCAAAGTAGGATCTTTTAACCAATCCCATTAGGTTTTATTTTATGGAGGATTTATTTTATCGAACTGGTGCTCCTATGAGATGTCAGTGTCTTAGGCAGCAGCTTAGCCCACTGGCCACAATGCTGACCCGTAGGGGACCCCATCTTATAAGTCAAATACCAAGGCTGTGGAAGTTCGGTCCCTGAACTCATGGACAGGAAGGTGCCAGCACAGACGTGAAGAGCCAAAATGTTAAGGAATATCCCACCTCCTTCCAGCCTGCCAGCTCAAGGGGCCCACGCACAACCCAGCCTTCTAGGATGTTCTCAAAGGTGTGTTCTGGCGAGGAGCTGGAGAGAATATGACAGGTGGTTGTGCACGTGAGCGGTTTGCTCCAGCCACCTGCTGGCCAGCATGGTGTCCTGTGGTGACTCCTGTCACAGCCTGAGGCCTGGGTCTTGCCTCTGGCCATCGAGAGAAGATACATCCTAGGGTGCTGGCCTGATGAGTCCACTGTGCAACGTGGACAAGTCCCCAGTGCCAGGACAAGGGCCACTGTGGTGGAGATCCTCTGTGGTGATTCTGGCCTGGAGCCCCGTGTAAACCAGCGTGGCCACGTGACCCACTCTGTGAAAGTAACCGTAAGAATGACCTCATGCTGCGCCTGAACTGGAAGGAGCCCGCAGTGCTCAGGCCAGCAGCCTTCCCAGGCAGTGGCCGAGTGTGCTGGGTGGCCCCAGGGTCCCCGGGCACATGTGCACCTCCCGCTCCAGGTCCACACAGTCATAGTACAGCTTTTGCTCCTGGTGCAGTGTGGGCACTTCGGGTAACCAGGGAGACCCTGTAGCAGGCGCTGTGGCTTCTCCCTGTGGCAGGGCACCCAGACAGCAGCCCTATGTGGTTCTTTGTCGGCCTTCCTCCCTGTGTCTTCCCCACCAGCGCTTGCTGCTTTGCTGCACTCCTGGGCCTCCCAAGACGCCTGGGCTTCCAGCCTCGAGGCAGGTCCTGGTGTCCTGGGTACCCCTTGCCTGCTCCCTGTAGCCTCGTCACCACACCTGGCAGTGGGAGACATTTTCAGAACAATGGAGGCAATTTGGCTGTCTCCTAGCTCCAACTCAGCCAATAATGCCCACTCACTTTTGATAACCCAGAATATTCCGTACATTGCAGATATCCCTGGATGGGTGGTAGGGAGGCAAAACTGCCTTTGATTAAGATCCACTGCCTTAGCTGGACTCAAAATACAGTGCCCACCTGGTCCTTGACTAAAGCAGGGTTGACCAGATGCCCTAAGAGCCCAGCATGATTTGTGCATGAGGAAAAAGGAGATGCAAGGAGGCCGGCTATGGGATTTTGAATTCTGGTGGGGCCTCGGGTCCCTGGACTCAGATGTCGTAAGCTGTCATGGTCCCTCTGGTTCCTGCATCTGGCATTGTGCCTCTAGTTTAGTCTAAATGAGTTTGTATTGACAGTTCTCGGAGTGTGGTTACCGAGCCAACAGCATGAGCAACGCCAAGGCTCTTGGTAAACTTGGACCCAACTTCAGGCCCTTCCTCATTTGTAAGTTTAAGCCTCAGCTCTTTCCAAACAGAGCACCCTAACCCGCGAGGGGTGCTCCAGGCGGAGGGGACTCCATATAAAGGGCCGACCCTTGTGTCACCTCTGCTCAGAGAAGGGTGGTTTGGCAACGGGCTAGTGTCTTTTCCTTTTAAAAATATGCATATATATATATTGATTATTTTTATTGGAAACGCAGATTTGCAGAGAGACGGAGAAAGAAAGGAAAATCTTCCATCCACTGATTCACTCCCCAAGTGGCTGCAACAGCCAGAGCTAAGCCAATCCAAAACCAGGAGCCAGGAGTTTCTTCTGGGTCTCCCATGAGGGTGCAGGGTCCCAAGGCTTTGGGCCGTCCTCGACTGCTTTCCCAGACCACAAGCAGGGAGCTGGATGGGAAATGGAGCAGCCAGGACAGGAACTGGCACCCATATGGGATCCCGGCATGTGCAAGGTGAGGATTTAGCCACTGAGCCATCATGCTGGGCCCCAGACCAGTGTCTTTGATTTTTGGCTGTACTGGTTAAGGACAACTGGTGGTTCTGTGTGCCCAAGAACACCCTGACACGTAGCTGGTGTTCAGTGAATGACAAAGGCAGGCTCCGTGGCACATGGAGACTCCCACGACCCTCATCAGAGTGCTGCTTTGACTCTCGGCCAGTTTCCTGCTGATGTACCTGGGATGCGCAAGGGGCCACGAATGTGAGCCCTGCCACCCATGAAGAAGACCTAGACCTGTTCCTGCTGCTGGCCTTGATCTGACTCAGTCCAGCAGGTGGAAGATCCCCCCTCCCTGCCCATTCTGTCACTGCATTTTCAAATACACAAATATATATATATATATATTTAAAGCATAAAATATGGTTGAACATATAAGTTTAACACTAAGTGTCTCCGGCCCGGCAGCGTGGCCTAGAAGCTAAAGTCCTCGCCTTGAACGCGCCGGGATCCCATATGGGCACCAGTTCTAATCCTGGCAGCTCCTCTTCCCATCCAGCTCCCTGTTTGTGGCCTGGGAAAGCAGTGGAGGACAGCCCAAAGCCTTGGGATCCTGCACCCATGTGGGAGACCTGAAAGAGGTTCCTGGCTCCTGGCTTCAGATCGGCGCTGCACCGGCTGTTGCGGTCACTTGGGGAGTGAATCATCGGAAGGAAGATCTTCCTCTCTGTCTCTCCTCCTCTCGGTATATCTGACTTTGTAATAAAAATAAATAAATCTTTAAAAACAAAACAAAAAAAATTAAGTGTTTCTGGGTGATGGGCCTTAGTGTTTCCTTGGGAGTATTCCGGACTGGGTAAGAAGGGAGGAGAGGCAGGCCGCCTGGTGCAGGGGTCACAGGTGCTGCTTGGGGTCCCAGCTGCTCCATTGCACAGGGGATGGCTCAGGGGACTGAGTCCCTGCCGTTCACATAAGAGACTTGGAGGAAGTTCCTGGCTCCTGGCTACTGCCTGGCTCAGCCCTGACTGTTGTAGGTATTTGGTAAATGAACCATGGGATTGGAAGATCTCTGTCTCTGCCTTTGAAGTAAGTACAAATTTTTTTTAAGTGGGAAAATCCATGAAAATGCACAGCTCCCCCACGCCTCACGCCGTGTGCTTTTGTCCCTAGGTGTGAGCGGCCAGCAGCATGGCCACCAGCGCCGTCCCCAGCGACAACCTCCCCACCTACAAGCTGGTGGTGGTGGGGGACGGAGGCGTGGGCAAGAGTGCCCTCACCATCCAGTTTTTCCAGAAGATCTTTGTGCCCGACTACGACCCCACCATTGAGGACTCCTACCTGAAGCACACGGAGATCGACAACCAGTGGGCCATCCTGGACGGTGAGAGCGGCCGCGGGCTTCCCGCGTGCGGGAGAAGGTCCGCTCGCCATCGCTGCTGTGGGGTGGGTGGGGGGAGGCTGTGTGTGGTTTCCTCTGTCGAGGGCTTGAAAGCTTTGTGGGGACCAAACTCCGTCTAACCAAGAGGCAGCCCAGAATTGTGCCAATTCAGGGAGCTCGTGTTTGTTTCTTCTTGCTGGTCACAGGCTGATTACCAGTTACAGATGTCTCCAGCTTAGAAAAAAAAATGTAGGGGAGAAACAAATGATTTCTTTCTAAATTTTTAAATTTTTATTGGAAAGTCGGATATACAGAGAGGAGGAAAGACAGAGAGGAAGATCCTCCATCCGCTGATTCACTCCCCAGGTAGCTGCAACAGCCAGAGCTGAGCAGATCCGAAGCCAGGAGCCAGGAGCCTCTTACTGGACTCCCACGTGGTTTCAGGGTCCCAAGGCTTTGAGCTGTCCTTGACTGCTTTCCCAGGCCACAGACAGGGAGCTGTCTGGAAAGTGGGGCCAGCAGGACACAAACCAGTACCCATATGGGATCCTGGCATGTGCAAGGTGAGGAGGACTTTAGGCACTGGGCTACTGTGCCAGGTGCTGATTTCTTAAACATTTATTCAGTAAATGTCCTGTGAGGAGACTCTTGGCTCTGCCTCCGGATGTTAGTTAAGTTTAGATGAGTAGTTCTCCACGCGTGGGAGCCAGCTAGCAGCGTCAGCATCACCAGGGAGCCTGCCCTGGGCTGATTCACAAGTTCTGTTCCGGCACCCCCTGCAGGCCGTGCCGGGAACCACAGCTCCCCCTGCCTGGTTAGAACCTTGCCCTGACCGCAGCACGGGGTTTTCTAGAAGTGAACTTGTTTTAGGGTTTTACATTTAGTTTTATGATCAACCCTGCACGAATTCTTGGATTTGGCGTGAGGCCGGGAACACAGCTCATTTTCCTATGAATGGGATGCCGTTACTCCAGCACGATCTGTTGAGTGGGTTGCACTCTTGGTCATCTGAATTTGCTGAAAACCAGCCTGTGCGTGGATTCTTGCTGGGTTCAGTTGTGTCTTCAGTATCACTGTGCCGGGAGCTGTAGCTTTACAGTAAGCCCTGGAGTCGGGGGCATCCAATCGCCAGCTGGACTACTTTTCGGTTGTTGTTATGTTTTGGCTAGTCTGGATCCCGGGTATTTCCATCGGAATTTTAGAGTCAAATTCTGAAAGTCTAGATTTTGAGTGGGATTCTATTGACTGTGGAGCAGTTTGAGAATTGATATCCTAGCAATGTTAAACCTTTTAGCCCATGCACATGCGTCACCATTCATCTCAGTCTCATTTTCTCATCAGATTCTTTATTTCGTAGTTTTAAGTGCATAGGTCTTTTTCTGTGTTTCGTCAGATTGTTTTTTACCTACATCTGTATTGATGTTATTGTAAATGATTTTTTACAATTCCAGTTTTCAGTAGTCTGCTAGCATATGAAAATATAAACATATTTGTAAAATCTCTACTCGTTTAGCTAAGACGCAGAGAAACAGAGCTGTCCGTGTGTTGGTTTGTTTCCCAGACGCCGGCTGCTGCCAGGGCTGAGCCGCCAGGGCTGAGCTGCCAGGCCAGGGCTGAGCCGCCAGGGCTGAGCTGCCGCACACGCTTGGCGTTGTTTTCCAGCACGCTCTGGAAGGCACTTCCCCTCAGTTTTGTGATTTTCACTTTTTAGGACTTGTCGGAACTTTTGTTAAAAGCCTGCCCTGTAGGCAGTTTTCGTGACTGTTTCACGTGTATTTAAACAATGTTTGTTCACTGTTGGCGGTGACGTCCGAGCTGCCTCTCAAAACGAATTTCACGTTGCGTTGTTTAAAGGGAGGTCATTGCTGGGTTCTGCTAAGACGGCTCACGGCAGCTGTGGGATTTGCCGATTTCTGTGTTTCTAAAGGTTCCTTTTCCATACAGACAGATGCTTAGGATTCCTCATGGGCCGTGCTGCACAGACCTTTCCCTGTGCAATGATTTGGCTTCTGCTCTATAACTGCCTTTTCTTCTTTCGGCTAGTATGCGTCTGGCATACTCTTGTTTTCATTTTTCTGTTTTCATCCTTCCTATGTCCTTTTGCTTTATATGTGTGTCTTCTGTTCGTAGCACACAGATGGATTTTAAACTTAAATATTGCTTCAAATAGATGAATTTAACCTGTTTGCACTTATTGTGGTTAGTCATAGCATTCGTTCGACCATCTTATTTTATGTTTACTTTTTATCCTACTCCTTATATTTTTTAGGTTTATTTTTGTCTTTGTTAGCTTTGTCCCATTTGGTGTGTTCTGTTTTTTTCTCCCATTGATTGGGAAGTTTGGGGTTTTGTTTCTGTTCTAGCGGCTGTGCTATATGCGTCCTTGGGTGTCTTCTTCCAAATGTATTTTTATGTCACCATCTGCATGTAGCCACGATCCGTCTCAGGAGCTTTCCTGCGGGAACAGCTCGTATTCAGCCAGCAGGGGGCAGCAGCAGCGGCAGGGCCCCAGCGCTGGTGACATCCCCTGAGCAAGGCTTCGTTCCTCCCCAGTGCTGGACACGGCCGGGCAGGAGGAGTTCAGCGCCATGCGGGAGCAGTACATGCGCACAGGGGACGGCTTCCTCATCGTCTTCTCCGTCACAGACAAGGCCAGCTTTGAGCACGTGGACCGCTTCCACCAGCTCATCCTCCGTGTCAAGGACAGGTGAGGGCCCCTGCTCACTCAGGTAGGGGCTCGAGGAGCTGTGCGTTCTCTGCTGTCTCCCCTTTTCTTTCTGTGGTTTCCAGGAGAAAGCTGCAGGCAGAGGGGCAGAGGGGCAGAGGGGCAGAGGGGCAGCGCTAAATTTTCTCCCTGCGCTGACCTCCTGTTCATTCCTGTGTGCCCAGGTCCTCTCCCCGTGCCAGGCTGCTCCTCAGGCTTGCAGGGCTCGGCTTCCGCCCCGCCCTCACAGAAACACTGTTTTCCAGGATGCAGTTTACCACATTCTCTCCACGCTGCATTACACTCAGCCCTATCACACACAAGGCTGAGGGGTTTTTTTTTTCCTCACAAAAATATAGATTTATTGAAAGTCAGATTTAAGAGAGCGGGAGAGACAGAAAGCTCTTCTGTCAACTGGTTCACTCCCCAAGTGGCCTCAACATCTGGAGCTCAGCCTGTCCAAAACCAGGAGCCAGCAGCTTCTTCCAGGTCTCCCATGCTTATGCAAGATCCTAAGGCTTTGGGCCATCCTCTGCTGCTTTCCCAGGCCACACCGGGGAGCTGGATGGGAAGTGGAGCAGCCGGGACACAGGCCAGCACCCATATGGGATCCTGGTGCTTGGAGATCGAGGATTTAGCCACTGAGCCATTGCACTGGGCCCAACTCTGAGATTTTTAAAACCCATAGTTAAGGGCTCCAAGTGGCTAGTAAATTGGACCTCAAAAATGCAACTTAAGGAAAATAGAAAGAAATTATGATGGAAAGTGGCAAACTGAACAAGTCTCAATCAGAATGAAAAATTCCAGTTAAAACCAGATCTGAAAGCCCAGTGTTCTTACTTTTACCAAGTAGAGGGGTCCGCGCACGCGCACACACACACACACTCAGCTCTGAAAGAGACTGGAACATGGGAACGTGGACAGGTTCTTTATTGGTTAGGAGAAGAGAAGGAAAATATAATAAAGTGTCCATTTTCATCCATCAGATTGCAATTTTTGTAAGATTTATTTTTATTTGAAAGACAGTATTACCCAGAGAGAGATCTTCCATCTGATGGCTCACTCCCCGGACGGCTACAATGGCTAGAGTAGGTAGGGCTGGTCCAAAAGCCAGAAGCTTCTTCCAGGTCTCCCACATTGGGGCAGGCGGTCAAGCCTTAGGCCATCCTCCATTGCTCTCCCAGGCCATAAGCAGACAGCTAGATTGGAAGTGGAGTGGCTGAGACTCGAACCCACACCAGTATGGGATGTTGGGACTGCTGGTTATAGCTTGATGCCCTATGCCAGCATAAATACCCTGTGCTCCAAAGATCCCCTAGACTGGCGTTGGCTTTCCTTTGGGACAATATTGACCTTCAGGGCTCATAGTCCCACACACCCTCTCCTGGGAGCCACTGCATTGAAGCCGTGCCAGCCATATGTGGGACCCATCTGCCTCACCAGCCACAGCTGGTGGCCCTGGCAGTCCTGCCTGGTTTGTTACATCAATGCAATGGCAGGGTGGGACCAAGTCAGGAGCCCGTACCCACCTCGAATGACCTCCACGGCCAGCAGCCCCAGGCCCCTCCCCAAACCAGGGTCCTTACGCCTTTCTGGGAAGGGAAGAGGAAGGAGGGCCCCGTGACCAGGCCGACTTCATGGAGTGGCTGTTCCTGTATTTCCTAGGGAGTCATTCCCGATGATCCTCGTGGCCAACAAGGTGGATCTGATGCACTTGAGGAAAATCACCGGGGACCAAGGAAAAGAGATGGCAGCCAAACACAATGTAGGTGTGTGTGTGTGCAGGGGTGAGGGCTGCGTCAGTCATGTAGGGGTGTGTACAGGGGTGGGGGTCAGAGCTGTGTCAGTCATGTAGGAGTGTGTGTGTGTGCAGGGGTGGGGGTCAGAGCTGTGTCAGTCATGTAGGGGTGTGTGCAGGGGGGGTCAGAACTGCGTCAGTCATGTAGGGGTGTGTGCAGGGGTGGGGGTCAGGGCTGCATCAGAGTCATGTAGGTGTGTGTGTGCAGGGAGGGTCAGGGCTATGTCAGTGATGTAGGGGTGTGTGCAGGGGTGGGGGTCAGGACTGTGTCAGTCATGTAGGGGTGTGTGCAGGGGGGTCAGGGCTGCGTCAGTCATGTAGGGGTGTGTGCAGGGTGGGGGTCAGAGCTGTGTCAGTCATGTAGGGTGTGTGCAGGGGTGTATCTGACTAAGGAGCAAGCGGGGTTTGGCAAAACCGTCGGCTAAGCTCCCCAGCCCCAGCGAGCGGGAGCAGCAGAGGCTGGGCGCCAGGGGCCCTTGCGGGGGTGGGGGCTTGGCCCTCTGAGAACTGACGCTCTCAGTGCTAGTTACCCAAGACGAGCTGTGCCTTCCAGATTCCGTACATAGAGACCAGCGCCAAGGACCCCCCTCTCAACGTGGACAAAGCCTTCCATGACCTTGTTAGAGTAATCAGGTGAGAGCCCCCCACTCCTACTCCTTAGCAAGGGCCCGAGGCTGCCGGACCCTGCGGCCGAGGCCAGTGGAGTGCAGCCTGCCGGCTGAGGTGAACTCTGCCCCAGTTAGGACTCCTGCACCTGCTGGCTTGTGGGACCTGTGACGTTCAGGAGCCAGCTGTAGACTAGGGAGAGCCAACAGAAGGCATGGGAGTGCTGTGCGCCCAGATGACCTGCTGGTTACCTGCCCAGAAACACAGCAGTGACGGGGCAGCGAGCCGTGTAACCCAGTGTCACCAAGGACCTGAACGGAAGCAGCCACAGCTCAGTGTTAGCAATGTAATTCACCTTTTCCTCCTCGTTTGCGCTTGAGAGAAGCCGCCCATCTCACCCACCCACCCCCTCCCCCTGCAGCCCGCTCAGCAACCCCCCAGAGCCCATGCCCAGCCCCCGTGGTCCCATGGCTGCTCAGGCGTCAAGGTCAGCAGTAAGGGGGAGGGGCAGCAGGGCAAAGCGACGCCCACCCTGACTTCTATTTCCTTCATTGTTCCAAAAGGCAACAGATTCCGGAAAAAAGCCAGAAGAAGAAGAAGAAAACGAAGTGGCGGGGAGACCGGGCCACTGGCGCCCACAAACTGCAGTGCGCGATTCTGTGATGGGCCTGAGACCCGGGGGCGCAGTGATCAGTCGTGACCCGGCCAGTCCACAGGACCCCTCCACAGCCTAACTGTACTGAACACCATCTCTAACCAGCACCCTGGGCCCGAGGCCCCAGCAGCACAGGAAGGGAGGGCCGGGAGCCGGCAGGGCCGGCCTGGCTGGGAAGGCCTGCAGAGGGCTGCTCCCCTGGCCCTGGGTGTGCCGGCTCGCTGCTCCCTCTCCTAGGCTTCCCTTCTCACCTGCGCGTCGTTGGCTCGGTGTGGGAGAGTCCACGCAGCTGTGACGGGCAGAGCAGGCGAGCGCGGGCTGCTTCCCTCGCCACCACCCTGTCCTCAGTGTCTGAGCTTGGGTGTGTCTCTCATAGATTTTTGAATTATTTTCATGATTGCTCTTTTATTCAAGGGGTCTGTGCCCACTGTTGCCAAGCCCGCTCCAGCCCCCAATCCCATGTCTGGAAGAGTGTTTCGTCAGCGGAGTGTTCGTAGCAGTGCCAAAATGCAAGTCGGTCTGGAAGCGGAGTGGTTTAGAGGACCCACGTTGGTGGGAGCTGTTTCCGTAGGCTCTGGGCTGCCAGGTCCAGCCTGGGGGCCAGGTGGAGGAAGCTGACCCTGGTCCTGGCCCAGACCTGCTGCAGACAAAGAGGCTGCAGGTGCCAGAGCAGGTGTTAGGTGGCCCAGGGGAGTGGCTGGTGTGAGTATGTCGGTTCTAAAAGGAGTTTTCGTCGTCCAGAAGCTGTTAAAGGGTTTGATCGGCTTTGCAAGAGCGTGTGCTGAATTGCCAGAAGGTGTAGGATCGGCTCTGTGTTCCCACGCTTGGGAGTGGGCCCTGGCTGTCCACGCCTGGTCTCGTCCTGCGTTCTCCCATCTCCCTAATCAGTCGCACACAGGCCAGGAGACCGCTCTCTGCCCAGTCTCAGCCCAGCCTGCGTCTCCACTGACATCCCGGAGGGCATCGGGCAGAGCTCCTCCCACCTCCGGAAGGACGCTCCGTGAGCACACCCCTTCTAGAACTGGAAGGCTAAGCATGGAGTTGCCTTTTTACGCACACATTTGATGAGCCTCTTGGATCTTGCCTGTTCTCTGTCCCCACAACAGAAAGAAAGGGTGAGCCAGCGTGGTCCCCTGCCTGTTCCCACGGAATATCCCCTCCCCCACTCCCAGCTAGCTCAGTCCCTGCCCGTGTCCATCTCAGCTGCTGGTGCGAGCAGTCGGGCATGGGAAGGGCGGAGGGTAGCCATCCCCAGTACAACTCCTAAAGGCAGGTGGCATAGCTCGTGTACACATCAGGTCACTAAACTGGAGCACCCGTGCCCAGCAGGCAGCCTGGCCACTCTGAGGAGAAAGAACCCAATGAAAACGAGTGCCCAGCTGTTTGCCAAGTGCCCGGACCCTTCCCAGTTCCACCCTCTGAGCAGGCCAGCCAGAGGATGGCCCTGGACTTCTGCTGGTTGGAAGTCAAGCTTTTTGTGCATCTGAATGGCTCTTTCTCTGTTCTCGTAAAGGCCAAGAGAACATTCCAGGTGAGGCACTTCTGTGCCCTGGCCCCGGTGATGCTAGTGGGCATTCTGAGCTGTTGCCAAGCGTGGCCTTCCCAGAGCTGCCTCCACAGTGGGCCCCCGTGCAGTTCGGTACCAGTTGCCAGTTGGAGATGAGGAACAGGATGGAGGAGGATGCCAAGTCTGGAACGTAGGGCACCAGCCACCAGCAGCAGATCCTGGCTAGGGGGATGGACCATTGCAGCCAGACAAGTACCCAGACACGAGGGCTCTGCCCACTCCCGGCTCTGCTCCCCCATTTCTGGGCCTCTGTCCTGCACCTGCCACCCACAGCTCAATTCCACAGTTGCCCAAGACAGAAGCTTGCTCCACACCTCCCCCTCGCCCCGTCAGTGAGCTGAGTCCGTTTATGGAGACAGGCCCTGGCGACAGAGGTGGCTTCTGGATGGCACCTCTGCCAGCTCCTCCAGCGTCACCTGGCAGAGCCAGTCTGGGGTGCCTGCTTTGGCCGTGAGCCTGTGTGAGTGAACATCCTACTGGGACCTGCGGCCATGTTGGTATCTTTATGTTCCCATGGGTTTTCCAGGAGCTGGTGTAGGCCCATTGCCCTGGAACTCGCCCTTCCTGAAGTCCCCTGGCCCCACGCCCTGGCAGGTGTGAGCTCAGTTTCCTCCCTCTGACCCCCTCTGCAGAGCGAATGCCCACCATGGGACCATGGCCACTCCTTTCCATGCACTCTGCCCCCTGGGGGATGGCTTCCATAAAGTGCCCAGGGCCTTCCACGTGGAGGGGACGGTGGGGGCAGTGCTTGCTTGGCCCCTTTACGGGAGATGTGAACTACTAACACATGGCTGTTGTAACTCTGGGAAGATCCCCTGAAGCCCTGTCACAGTCCGTTCAGAGCCAGCCCTCCTCTGCACCCAGCCCTGTCAGCAGCCCACTGGGTGCGGAACTCCGTGTTGGGTTTACTTAGAATGAGATACTTGAATCCTGGAGCACCCATGGGTGCCCAGCTTGTTACACAGTGTTAACAGGCAGCCGTCGTGGAGCACCTGTGGGTGCCCAGCTTGTTACACAGTGTTAACAGGCAGCCATCGTCGGGGAACAAGAGGGTTGCCTGAAGATTTCCATGATGCTTGAGCCTTTTATGTAACTTTTTATTAAGTCTTTGTGTATCTCGACTCATTAATAAAGAAAAGAAAGACTTGGCTGTCTTGTTATATCTGGAAGGCTTCGCCCGGAACTCCCACCTCCCAGGGCACCGTCGCCTTGGTTCTTCCTGCCACACTCTCGGTGAGCAGGAGCGTGCTGGTGGCCGTGTCTCTGCAGGTGAGCACAAGCCCTGGACGCTGGACAGAGCTGTGCTGTGCTCTTGTCAGACTCTTGTGCACAGTGAGTTATAATTCCCTGTCTGTAGGCGGGGCTGTCCCTCCCCGTCACCCCCGTGCTGTCACAGCGGTGTCGGCCTTCAGGGACAGTTACAAGTTTAATTTTCTGCTCTTCACGTGTTTCTTTGCGGGGGACCTTACACGCACAGGGATCCCATACAGGCGCCGGTTCTAATCCCGGCAGCTCCACTTCCCATCTGGCTCCCTGCTGGTGGCCTGGGGAAGCAGCAGAGGATGGCCCAAGTCCTTGGGACCCTGCACACACACCGGAGACCAGGAAGAGGCTCCTGGCTTTGGGTGGCTCAGCTCTGGCTGTTGCGGCCACTTGGGGAATAAACCAGCGGACGGAGGATCTTTGTCTCTTCTCTATATCTGACTTTCCAATAAAAAAAAAATTTTTTTAATTTTTTTTATTTATTGCAAAGTCAGATACACAGAGAGGAAGATCTTCCATCCAATGATTCACTCCCCAAGTGGCTGAGCTGGAGAGGAGAGTGACGGTGTGGGGGACCCTCGGGCCTGTTGGCTGCCCATTCGCTCATTCCACCTGCATGTTTGGACCTGCCCTGGGCCTGGCCGTTGGCCGGGGGCCAGGTGTGTGGTGTGGGACAGGCTGAAGATTCTTCTCACGGTCCATTGTGGCTCCACCAGTCCCACACTGGTTTCCTGTGGTTGTTACAACACACTGTTATGGACTGAGTGGCTGAAAGCAGAAATGGGCTCTCCCACGGCTCTTGAGACCAGAAGTCCAAAGTCAATATCACGGGCTGCGGCCAGAGAGACAGCAGGGCCACGCCCTCTGGAGACCCCAGCGAGAACCTGCTCTTCCCCCGTCCCAGCTCTGGCAGCCAAGGGCATTCCTTGGCCGTGTGGTCTGCACGACTGGTGTCTTCAGTTCTCTGTGTCAAATCTCGCTTGCTTTCAGCCAATGCTTTCCCCTTTCTTGCAGACAGTTGAAGTCAGCCGCACAGAATCGCCAGATGTCTTCCGCCACCTGCTTCTGCATTGCCTGCTCTGCCTCAGTTGTTCCTGATGAACCAGCCATGCTCCTGGGACCTAGAACCCTGGGGTGTTGCCCTGTCTACCACCCACCTCTGTCTCATCACTGGCTCTCTGCTCAACACCCCCATCTTGAACTCATTGCTCCACCATAACCCCTTGCTTCCCTGCTGTCTTACAGAAGAAGTCTTGGAAATGTCCCGTTAACTTGCTTGCGTGACTCCTTGTCCTGTCTTTCTCTTTAAACTGCTCCGAAGGGCCTCTCCTTGCTCCCCCAGCACCGCCCATCTTGAGGCCACCATGACCTCCCTGTTGCATCCAACTGCTTTTCCTTGGCCTTCCAGGGGCTGCTGTCTCTTGGTTTTTCTGCACTGGCCGTGCCTTCTGGTGTCCTTGGCGGGTCACTCCACTGTCTACCTAACCTGTTCTCGGGGTCACCACCTGTCCACCCGTACTCACTCTCTTGGTGGTCTGTCTTGAGTCTTGTACTGATGACCTCCAGTTGTGTGTTTGCAGCAGGAGCGGCTCTCCCAACCCCCACTCAGACCCAGCTGCCTCTAGACCTGTGCAGTGTCTCAGCAGCCCCTTCCCCAACCCCCCTTACCGACTGGTCTCAGGCACTAACCCCCTGGGGCCCGCCCTCAGTCCCTCCCAATTCCCCCTCACCTTGCCCGCTCACCTGAATGGCGTAAAGGGGTGCCCAGGTGTGCCCCTCGTGCTCTCCCTTCCCTCTCTCACCACCCCCTCCCGGTCCTGCCCTGCTGGAATAGAAAACCTCCTATAGCATCTCATCGAGTGTGGCGTTTTCAGCCTGACATAAAAGGACTTGGCTGCACATGAGAACTTTAAGTGCGTTTAAAATCTAACACATCCCAAGCCAAATGGAGGAATATTTTCAGTGAACTGCTGGCACCTGCTGGCCATGAGGTAAGCGTCAGCCTGAAGCTTGCACTGCAGTCCTGCACTGTGGCTGTGACACAGCACCTTGGCTGCACACTCAGGGAGGGAGTGGCGTTGGGCAGAGTCCTCCCAGCCACAGCATCTCCAGAAGACTTGTAACAGGTGCACCTTCCAAGGCCCAGCGCAAAAGCTCAGGGACTAAATCCTTGCCAGGATTTCATGTGGGTGGTGCTGGTTCCAGTCCCTGCTCCACTTCCCATCCAGCTCCCTGCTTGAGGCCTGGGAAAGCAGTCGAGGACGGCCCAAAGCCTTGGACCCTGCACCTGCATGGGAGACCCTGGAAGAATCTCCTGGCTCCTGGCTTCGGATCAGCTCAGCTCTGGCTGTTGTGGCCACTTGAGGAGTGAACCAGCGGACAGAAGAACTTCCTTTCTGTCTCTCCTCCTCTTTGTAAATCTGACTTTGCAGCAAAAATTAATAACTCTTTAAACAGAAGAAACGGAAGCGGAAATGTACATTGCAGGCCTGTCCTCGATGCAATGAAGGAGAAATCGGTGACGCTGCCAGCCCACATGGAGTGGACCCTGCAGGGAGCTTGCTGCTTTTCGGGCTGAGGACACCCAGACAGGTAAGGAGAGAGGTTCCTGTCCCAGGCCTCAGCTCCGTGGGCTCCTCGTGCTGGAAGGCGGAGCTGCCGCCAGGTGCTTCTGTTTTCCTTGTAAGGTTGATTGGTAGGGTCCTCACGGCCACCCAGGCCCCTCCTTTCTCCATCCCCCCAGGCCCTGTGCAGGGAGCTAGCCTTGACTCCACCAGCTAGAAAGTTGTACGCAAAGTGAGGGATGTGCGTTGTGCAAGCATTTCTGGGGCAAGGTCACCGTGGAATTGTGGCGCTGCCCCCGGTGCTGCCCCGCGTGAGATGAGGCCACCTCTTTAACCTCGTCCCCGCTCTTGTCTCTTGTTGGTCTGTGTCACTGCTCCCAGTCCGTGCTGCGAGGACAAAGAGGAAATGAAAGGGACAGAGCTGCCCTCACCACGTCCGAGAACGCTGACAGAACTGCTCAGCCCCTCCCTCCCGTGCCCAGGGCCCCGCGTGACTCTCCCATCATGCCCACAGCACCTCCTCCAAGGGCCCCCCCAACGTCCTGGACCACGTTTAGCCCAGGTGACCACGTTTGCCCACGGCCTGGCAGAGAGGAGCGGTCTGTGGCGAAGGTAGGAACAGCATTTAAAGCCAGAACTTACATTCCAGCCATTCAGCATTTTAGAGTCACCGGGGACCGGAGGGGACTCGGGCAATAATACCCCCTACACACACACACACACACACACACACGCGCGCGCGCGCGCATTGGCTGTGGGTGGAGCTGGGCATCAGGCCCTTTTCACCAGGGACCTGGAGGGGACTTGGGCACCTTCAGAGCTGGCGCGTGGCTCGGAGCAAAGGCAGGACAGAGGCAGCAAGGCCGGTTCTGTGCAGCGCTCATGGCGAAGTGGAGTTATGCTCCGGTTACTTAGTATCTTGCTGGATTCTCACACTGACCCGTGAGGTCAGCCAAGTGCTGCTTGCTGTCTAGAAAGAGACACGGAGGCCCAGGGGCAGTGGAAGGGACGAGGCCTGGGTGGGCACCCAGGTGTGGCTGGGGAGCCTGCGCTGTGCTCACCAGGGTCCAGCCAGGCTGAGGACGGAGCTAGCCTCAGCCAGGTCCCCTCCCCTGGCCTGAGGACGACCTTCTCATGCCTCTCCTCCCTCGGGGGGGGTGAGGGGGCGAGGGGGTGAGGGGTTCCTGAGGTGCATCAGCAGCACTCAACTTCAGTGTCGTCATGTTCCAGGGTGTTCGTGCTCCTGGGCTCACACCCGGGGCAGCGCTCGCTGTGGCCCTGGACACCGCCTCCAGGCAGGTCTGTCCTCCCGTTGCTGCCTCTCCAGGTCTCCGTGGGGGTAAGTCCCGACCAGCAAAAGCCAGCAGTTAGCACAGCAAGGAAGACTCCACAGCCCAGGGTGCCCCCGCACTGCTCCCCGAGAGGCAGCTGGAGGACGCTGACCTGGCAGGTGGGTTCCTGGATGGGAGAACAATAGTTGCTTTCCGTGGTGCCACCACAAGGTCTCCTGCACCCTCTGGGTTTCCTCTGCAGCGGGCCAGCTGAGGTTCCTGGTGTGCCCAGTGCCTGGGGCTCTGTGGGTGCTGATGAGGCTGTGCCCAGCCATGTTGCTGGCAGGTGACCCTGGGCAGCGGTGCCTGGGGCTCTGTGGGTGCTGATGAGGCTGTGCCCAGCCGTGTTGCTGGCGGGTGACCCTGGGCAGCGGTGCCTGGGGCTCTGTGGGTGCTGATGAGGCTGTGCCCAGCCGTGTTGCTGGCGGGTGACCCTGGGCAGTGGGCCAGCCTCCCTCTGCCTTGATTTGCTTTCTCCATAACAGAAAGCTGGCTCCTGCAGCTGCCAGCACTTAATGGCTGTCGCTTTCGTTCAAAACAATGGCTGGCACCGGGCCTTGGCATTTGAATGCCAGCCAGGAGCCTGCAGCATAGGTGTGACCACAGCCTCGCCCCTGGGCTCTGCTGGGACCACCCTCCCCGCGGCCTAGAGGAGCCCGGCCCCTGCCCCAGCCTGCCCTCCCACCCCTCCTCTGCCCCTCAGACACCTCCACTTGCCCCTGCAAGGTCCTAGAGCTCCTCGGAGCTGCGCTCTCGCCCAGCTAACCTTGCCAATCAAAGGGGACCCAGCCCTCGTGGGAAGGAAACAATTTGGCTTCTAGTGTTAATAAAGATAAATTCCTCCATGCTAAAAATGCCACACCCAGGGCCCGCTCCTGAAGCAATAACCAGGGAAGGGATGGTGAGCAAAGGTGACGTCCGCCAGTGAACAGGGGTGACCAAACAAGTCACGCTCCGGCCAGGCAGCAGAGAGCGATGCGGCTTAGAGGTGCAGCAGGGACACTCATTTCCGGAACCTGAGGCCTGGCACAGCAGGTTAAGCCTCTGCCCATGGCGCTGGCGTCCCACTTGCTGCTCTTCCCATTCAGCTCCCTGTCAACACACCTGGGAAAGCAGCAAAGGGCGGCCCGACAGCGTGTACCCTGCTCCCAGGCAAGCCGCCCAGCCCCGGCTCCCGGCCCCAGCTCCAGCTCCTGGCCCCAGCCCCGGCTCCCGGCCCCAGCTCCAGCTCCAGCTGGGCGGCCTGGGGGGGTGGGTGGGGACCAGTGGACGGAGAGCACTGTCCCCTCTCCTTCCCTCTGCTTTTCAAGCAAGTAAAAGAAATCTTGACCGTTCAGGCCCTGCACACACACCTCCCTGGGTGCTGGTGTCTTTGGAACGCTTCATTCAGTGGAAATATCTTCAGTGGAAATATCTACAAAGTGGAATCCGGGTTCATTTTGTTTTCACTTGTCCCCAGTGAGACTGGCCTGGGCATTTGTCAGTTTTGTTTTCTCATGAACTGCCGCTCTGCCTCTTCAACGCGCCCTGCAGTCTGGTGTTTCCTCTTTACTGGCTTTTACAGCTTGCGTGTGGACCTTTTTTTGGTCATATTCACGGCAGAGTTTTCTCCCCGAATGTAATGCTTCCATTAATGTGTGAAGCAGAGGTGGACAGACCACTCCCACCTGCTGGCTCACCGCTCAGCTCGCACCAGAGCCAGCGAGGGCAGGGCTGGCGCGGCAGCCAGAAACTGGGGCCGCCTCCCACGGGGACTTGAGAGCCACCCGACGGGGAAGTGGGAGTGTTGACTGCCAGCCCAAAGAGCCACCTTTTTCTCCCTCTAAATGAGCAGTTGATTGAAGGGAGAACAGCAGGATTCAGCACTTTAGAGTGGTTTCCTAACCACAGCGCAGTAGCTGCACAGAGAGGTTATAAAACCCTCCTTAAGCAATAAGTGAAAAACAAAAATTCTCCCATCAAACAAGCTAGGTGAGGGTGTTAGCGCTGTTTGTGAAAACAGTGAACGCAGTCTTCCCGGAACAGGCAGGGAAGGGCTCCGGAGTGCTGTGTCCCAGGAGGAGGGCGTCTCCCCGCTCAGCCCTGCCAGCCACAGCACCTGCAGCCCCTGGGTAACCAGCGGCAGCTCAGGGAGGAGTGCGGACACACACTCCCACTGCGGGCGGAGCAGGGCGGCCGTGGGCTTGGTCTTCAGGAGCCGGTTCTGGCTCCCCTTCCTGCAGACCCCTTGTCAGCTCCGGGCTGCTGGAATTCGGCTTTCCCTCCCCACCTCCACCCCTATGTCACAGACGGCCTCCCGGCGTCCACCGTGGCACTGCGTTGGCTCTGACTTGCCCACACCGAGCCAGCGCATGCCAGCCCCCAGGGGCTGCAACAGGACAGAATCCCCCCTTTCCTAGTCTGTGTGACTTCTTTTTACACTATTAACATTTGACATTTTAGAGCTATAATTTTCCTTTTCTTGGATTTTGTCTTTGAGATTGTGCTAACAAGGTCCTTTTTCATCCCAGTATTACTATTTTCTTCTAATAACTTCACAGTTGCATCTTTGAAAAATAAGAAAGATTAATTTTTATTTGAAAGGCAGAGTTACAACAGAGAAGAGAGCTTCCATCTGCTGGTTCACTCCTCAAATGGCCATAATAATCAGAGATGGGCTGGTCCGAGGCTAGGAGCCAGGAGCTTCTTCTGGGTCTCCCATCCAGGTGCAGGTCCCAAGGACTTGGGCCGTCCTTGACTGCTTTCCCAGGCCACAAGCAGGGAGCTGGGTTGGCAGTGAAGCAGCAGGACTTGAAGCAGCCCCCATGTGGGATGCTGCTGCTGCTGCAAGTGGCAACTTAGCCTGCAGTGCCATGGCCTGCCTCTTTCTTTATAGATGCTTCCAATTAATAAATTATGGGAATGGAGTTACCATTGTATAGAAGTGGAAATGTTTATGAAGCAACGATTGGTCCGTGGCAGGTTCTGGGTCATTGTTTGCCATTCTTAAACTTCAATTCCTGGCCAGTTTGTTCTGGAGTTAGGTGTGAAGTGGCTAAGCCAGTCGTGCCAGTAGCACCATTCCTTCAAGCACACAGCTCTCCATCTTTCTGCCCACCCCAGCCCTGGTGGGGAATTTCCTTCACAGATTCCCTTCACCGCAAATTTGCTCACCTGAGCCCAGCAGGCCCCATTTTCTCAAACCTTTCCCTTCTTCCATCAGCCCACTTCTGCATGGCCAAGGTCACCAAGAGCCCCGCTATTTAGGGCAGCACTCCTAGGCTGTAGGAACCAAGCGGAGGGCAGTGTGTCTTGGCCTTGGCCTTGGCCTGGGTGGTGGGTGCATCTCTGCCCCCTACCCCAGGGCAAACCCAGCGAGGCTGTCCATTGCCACTGTCAGGGTCAGACCCCTTCAGTCTCAAAGTCCCTGCATAGTACTCACCTCCGCGTGGGGGTGGGCGGGCTGGAGTCAAAGGAAGCGGAAACCCCAGGGTGGAGTTGACAGTGCAGTGCTGGGTCCAGGGCTGGGCCGTCCTGATGGACGCAGGACACCCTGGCCCGGCGTCTGTGTGAGCGGCGCCCTCTGGCGGCCGCCGCGGCAAGCTGCGCGCCGGGGCGCATCCCGCGGGGAAGCCCAAGGAGGACCCTGAGCGTCGGCCAAACGACCCCCCTCCCCTCTGGCCTCCCCCAGATCCCACAGGGCTCAGCGGCAAGTGCCAGGCGGGTCTGGGTTCCCCCATCTGAGCACACGGTAATCCTGTAGGGCGGCTGCGAGGCTTAATCGAATTCATGCATTCGGGAGCTCAGAACAGTGTCTGCCATGCAGAGCTAGCTCTCCAAGCCGCGTCCTTGCTGTGTTGGGCACCACCAGCATTATAATCGCAGCAGCAGCTGCGGCTGGACGAGCTCCCGCTGCCAGCCCAAAATCACGAGGGAGGAACCCGCACAGTACCCGCCCTGGCCACCGGAGGGCGCCGTGGCAGAGCGGGCGGGCTCCAGGGAGGGAGACATGGCAGAGGCTGGATCCCTCTGCCACCTGCTTTAGCTCTCCCCACAGCAGCCTCCTGTGCTCCAAGGGAAAAGGTGCTTCCTGCCTGGCAAGTTCACCACTGTTTGCCAAACACCTCCCTCAGCACGACTGGCCGGGGGACCTACCCAGCACGGTCCCTCAGCACGACTGGCCAGGGGGACCTGCTCAGCACGACTGGCCGGGGGACCTGCTCAGCAGGGTCCCTTGTGGCCACCAGGTGCACCCACATGGGAGACCCTCCCGGAGGTCCTGGCTTCAGCCTACACCAGCCCCAGTTCTTGTAGCCACTTGAGGAACACGCCAGCAGAAGGGAGATCTGCTTCTCTCCCTCTCTCCCTTCTGTCACTCCAGACCGCAGACTCAGAAACCCTGGGCAGGCTCCAGGTGCTGCCCACTCTGGCCTCATCCCTTCCCTGGGGTCATTTTTAAGATGTTGTTTGTTTTACTTGGGAGAATTATGGGGTCAAGGGAAGGGGACAAAGAGACAGAAATGTCTTCCGTCTGCTGGCTCACTCCCTAAGTGGCCATAATGTCAGAGCTGAGCTGAGCTGAAACCAGGAGCTTCTTCCGGATCTCCCATGCAGGTGCAGCGTCCCGAGGCTTTGGGCCGTCCTCAACTGCTTTCCCAGGCCACAGGCAGGGAGCTGGATGGAAAATGGAGCAGGTGGAACACAAACCAGCACCAATTTGGGATGTCAGCACTGCAGGTGGCGGCCTTACCCACTACACCACAGTGCTGGCCCCAGGTCTTAGTTTTCGATCTTGTTGGAAACATGGTATGTTTTCATTATGGTTGCCTGGCAGCAGAATGCTGACTTGGGATGGCCGAGGGCACAGATGGCCAACTGCACCATCTGCCTTGCTTTCTTCCCTGAATAATTTGTTCCCCCAAGACAGAGGAAGGCGCTGGGCTCCTGTAGGGGAGGAGGTGCAGGCCCTATGGCACCCCTTGCCCAGGGACACACACACCTGCTGAGTGCGGGTTGGGGACAGCCTGGTGCCAGGAGGGAGAAGGCAACTGAGCCTCCAACAGATGAGCTATGAGCACGTGCAGCGAGCTCCCTTCCCTGAGCACACTCCCTTCCTGCGCCTCCCTGCACCTGCAGCCTGTACGTCAGGTGTTGTGGAGGGGGAACTGTGAGGCGCAGTCTTGGGCTGCCTAGCTGGAGTAAACCCACGGACATTCTGGACCTTTGGCTAGGTGCTGCAGGGGTGAGGGGATGACCTCTGCTGGGTTGGGGGCGGTGGGAATGTTCCGGGATCAGGGCTAATGCTTGCACAGCTTTGCTCACATTCTAAAACCACTCTGGGAGAGTGATATTTGGGGTAATCGCATCTCAATCCAGTTTAATGTCAAACCTAAACCGTGTGAGAGAAAAAGTTTTAGAACTTCCTGTAAGCAGACCACACAGATTCTCTGCTGATAAGGAGGCCTGGGGGCTGAGGGCAGGCGGGCAGGGGCTGCGGGGTTAGGGGAGCCCGTGCCGTGGGCAGGGCCTGCGAGGTTAGGGGAGCCAGTGCCGAGGGCAGGGGCTGCGTGTGGGGCCTGTGCGGTAGGTGGCAGAGTGCGGCAGCCACAGGAAGGGAGAGCATCACGAGTTGCCTGGCAGACTCAGGACTCAAGAGAATGGGAGATGTGAAGATGCTAACGGGGCTAGCTAACTCTTGAAGCAGAAGGACGTTCTGACCGTGTCCTAACAAACACGACCCTAGGGGACCTTGGTGAATCAGCCCAGCTGGACACACCCTGGGCAGCTGCCTGTGATGGGCGACCCACAGCAGAGCTCCAGTCTGAGTCCGTTTCCGACCCAGCTCCTTGCTAATGCGCCGGGAGGGCTGGGAAGACGGCCCAAGTGCCAGGGCCACCGAGCTGGACGGAGCCCTGGGCTCTTGCCTTCAGCCCTGGGCTCTTGCAGCCCTGTGGACAATGAAACAGCAGGTGGGGGGCTCTGCTTTCACCACCATCACCACCCCCTTTACAGCTCTGCTTTTCAAATATATAAATCTTTTTTATTTTTTAAAGCAGTACCAAGTCCAAGTAACACCTAGTGACTATAAAATGCCACCGAGAACAATGTCCTACAAGCCAAGTCAATAACATGAGGTCAGCAGGACCAGAGCGGGCCCTGGCAGGCACTGCCCTACCTCCACGCAAGAGCAGGGTTTGGGGAAAGAGCTCCAGCCGAAGCCTTGGGGGGAATAAAGTTCGCCAGTTTATTATTGTTGTTTTAATCTACAGGGCATTTGAGAGCAGGATTGTGTACAGGATTGTCTACAAGAGTTGGGGGCCTTTACCCTTCGTTTTGGCTGAGTGATTCCTGCAAGGCCAGAGACCTTCGGATCTGAGAAGCATTCGCTGTTGGAAACGCTCATCGCACGAGGCAATCTTATCCAGGAGGAGGGCGAAGCTAACAGGTCACAGGTGCTGTTTGTGCACGAGGAACCAGCCGGCTAAAGCCTCGGTGAGTCACGGACTGCCTGCGGCAGCACTCGGCCCACCCCAGGGGCCACTGCGCCTCTCCTGGGCATCTCTGCCTCGGACGCTGGGGGTCTCAGGGTGCGCCCACCACTCCCAGCCGGTTTCCTCGACGGAACTCGACGGATCCGGGTGGGCGGCCTGCCCCTGCCTTCTTCAGCCGGGCCCGCCCCGGGGCGGAGACGTCGGCAGTGGGAGGGAGGGCCCGCCCGGCTCGGTGTACTCCCGGGCGCCGCGCCACCGGGCGCGCCAGAGCGCCGCGCGCCGGGGACGCAGCCGCTGGTGCCGGCAGGGCGGGAGCGGCGCCGCGCCCTGGTCCTCGCGCTTGGAGCACAGATGTGACCGAGCGTCGGGGCGTCGCGCGGACCTGAGCTCCTGTGAGGCGCTTGAGCGGCGAGATGCAGGCGGACGAGCCCTGCGCCTCCGGGGCCCCGAGCGCCCCGGGCGCGCCCAGCGGTCCCCGAGCTCCGGAGACGGAGCGCGAGCCGGGCCCCGAGCTGCGCCTGTCCAGCCAGCTGCTGCCGGAGCTCTACGCCTTCGTGGCGCGCGTGCTCTTCTACCTGGCGCCGGTCTACCTGGCCGGCTACCTGGGGCTCAGCATAACCTGGTTGCTGCTCGGCGCCGGGCTGTGGATGTGGTGGCGCAGGAACCGCCGCGGGAAGCTCGGTCGCCTGGCGGCCGCCTTCGAATTCCTAGACAACGAGCGCCACTTCATCAGCCGCGAGCTGCTGGGCCAGCACCTGCCAGCCTGGGTAAGCCGGCCGCGGCGGGGCGGGGGCCCTTCGGGGCTGGGGGAGCAGGTGGAGTCCGCCGGGGAGCTAGGGCGCGCGCACCCGTTCCCGATGCGTCGGTCATCCTCACCGCAGCTCCGCTCCGGCTGCGGTGTGGCAGCGGAGAAGCTGGCTTTGGGGTTCGGGCTCAAAGCCTGGGAGAAAAGTCACGGGCAGGCCACACCCAGGAGAAAAACAAGAGCGTCTGTCTGGGACTCTGCACTTAGTCGGGAGGGAAGTAGGAGGCTTTTCTTCCACATGCCTGTTGATTCAGAACGCGGGCGCGGGGAGAGGGGGGCTCGCTGCGTGCGCCGAAGCCCTGGTTGGGTTCTGCAGGCGGAAGGTGGGCGTGCTGCGCGGAGCCGGGCTTCCAGGCCGGTCGGACTGGGTGGAAAATTCTGGGGCCTATTACACAACTCAGTGTGGGATGGGGTGAGGTGGGGGTAGGCGTGTCCGGGGTGATCCGGGAGTTGGGGACACGCTGGCCAGGGGAGGGTTCAGTCCCTTTCCGAAGGTGAGTTGTGACACTGCGCCCCCCGCGGCTCCCCCGCCCCTTGCAAGGTGTGCCCCCAGAGCCCTGCCTTGCCTCAGCTAACAGGGGCCGGGACTTGCCGCACCTGGCCCACACAGGTGGGTTTGACAGTGTTAGAAAGGCGTGTTGATATTTACTGTATGTGAGAGACACTAAACCAGGGCTGCTGTACAAAGTTCCACGGACTGGTGGCCCGAAGGACAGTTGCTCATTTCCTCTGCATGTGGCAGGTGGGGGACGAGCCGCAGGTGTCACTGGAGTTGGTTAGGCCACTGGGCCGCCTTGGTTCGGTCCACCCTCCTTGGTTCTTGGACGACCACTCCCTCTGTCTCCTGCTGTAGACCTGGTCCACATTCGCTCTGGGAAGACCCCAGCTGTGTTAAGCACATCCTAAGGGCCTCAGCGTTGCTTAATTAAGCTGCTAAAGGCTGTTACCAAATTGACAATTAGAGAAGCCTGGGCTAACAGTCATGGATGGAGTGGGGCGGTCAGCCTCCAGCAGTGGTCTGTAGTGTGTGACTGGATGGGGGGGTCTGTGACAGAGTTCCAGGGACTGGGCAGAGGCTGTGACTGAGTGTGACCCTGTGAAAAGCTCACGACCGCTGTCCTCGGGGAGCGCCAGGGGCCGCTGCTGGGCACAGGGACACAGGACGTGGTGGCACACCTTGTACCAAGAGGGCAGGTGGGCGACTCGTACTCGCTCTCAAGGCCGCCGAGCAGCTGGAGACCAGGGCCTGCCGAGGGGCCAGCCTCGAGTGGACAGCCACCCGCTTTGCTGCTCATGCTGTCCTGCATCACGGCCTCACCCTCGCGTTGGCAGGGCACAGCCTAGAACCACCTGCTCTGCCCACCCCTGGTTAGACGGTCTGGATGGCCTCTGGGCCTGAGCCAGCGGGCTGGCCTGTCTGCCGTGTGGGGCCCAGCTAGTGTGTGTGAGGTGGCTAGCTGGGGCGTGGCCTGGTGCTGAAGGCTGCAGGAGCTCATGGGGTCGGATTGGAAAGGCTCTGCAGGCGGCAGCCCGGGGGGCAGGCTGCAGTAAGAGCTCGCCATGGGAAAGTGATTTGAGCACCCTGCCCCACTGGGGAGCAGGAGAGGCTGGGGGGTGCATGGAAGTGCAGGCTCTAGCTGCTTAGTGGACCTCGAAGGAGCAGGCAGGGGCCTTCCTGGGTGCCGGGGCTCGGGGGGACACCCAGGAAACAGCTGGGGAGGCTGCTTCGTGCTGTGAGGAGCGCACTGGCTGCTGCAGCCTGGCTGTCGAGACCTGCTCCCTGGGCCTCTCCCAGCCTGGAGACCATGAGCGTTGAAGCCCCCCTCCCCTGCCCCTCTGCCTGCGGAGTGGTGGGGACACGGCCAGCCTGTCCTGGGGTTTGGGAGCACAGCTGGGGACCCTCACTGTCACACACTAGTCTTTTTGCTTGCCATTAAGACAAACTGTTTCCTCACTGGCAAATGGTGAATCAGTCTCAGGAGTGTCCCATGGTCCTCGTGTGTGGCTGCTTCCAGGGGAAGGGTCTTCCGGGTTAGATGGGTCAGGGGGACGGGGACATCAAGGTACCGGGGCCTTCCATTTGCCATGATGTGGCCTGGCCCCGCTGTAAACCCTCTAGCCGCCCGTGAGCCCCATGTTTTCCCACAGATGCAGTTTTTTGGTGTAGTGTGGAAGCTGTTCTTGGCGGGGCAGTGGACCAGGAGGACGTCTCAGCCTGGAGGTCCTGCCCCGCCCCGCAGGCTGTCCTGCAGCCAGGCTGAGTCCCAGGAAGGAGGTTCTGCCCTTTGGGTCCCTGCCCCATGTCTTGATGAAGCCTCCTGGCCTTCCCACGCCCCAGGCTGCACTTGGGCCATCAGTGATGCTGTGGGCTCCTTCCTGCCAGTCCAGCTCGGGGGCTCTTAAGCATCTGTGCTTTCATGCTGGAACCAGCCAACAGGCATTCCTGGAGGCTGGCTCTGCAGACTGGGTCACAGGATGCGTGACACAGAACCCTGCCCTCTCAGAACCCACGCCTGGATGGAAAGCAACCTTCACCAGTGTGGTCAGCCCCATGAAGCCACAGGCTAGGGTGGTGGGGGCGGGGAGCTGACCCGGGCAGAGAGTGGCCCAGGAAGCCTGCTTGGAGGAAGAGGTGGTGTATGGTGTTGCTGGCTGGGGACGAGGGGGCGGAGGGGATTCTTTCCAAAGTGTTCCACAGTTGCAAGCTCCTCACATCTCGTCTCGGGGTGCACGTGTTCTGCGGGAGCACCCAGTCACCCCGACCTCAGGTGGGGCTGGGTCTCTGCAGACAGGAGAGCCCAGGGTCCCCGGGACACTCCAGCATGTGGGTTTATATGTCATGTGGCAGTGGAAGGCCAGGGCCCACAGAGGGGGTGTGGCCTCAGCGCGCTGCAGCCCCTGTTCCCAGGGGCAGGGTGGAATGGAGAGCTGGCCTGAGTTGGCATTGGTTCCCTGCTGGCCCAGCACTGTGGCAGCTCTGAGGGAATGTCCCAGTGGACTGGCAGAGCCACTGGAAGCTCCAGTCACTTCCCAGCCTTCCTCTTCCCCTGCCCCGCCGTGCCTTCCCGCCTGCAGTCTCCTGGAAGCTGGAACTTGTGGCATGCCCGTGTTTACCAGCGCCCGAGGCCAGGGTTTGCCTTCTCCTCTTCCTCTACCGCAAATACCACACAAGAATGGAAGACTTTTTTTCCTGACCCATCAGGAAATAGGATAGGAAAGGAATAAAGTCGCATCTATGTACACTCCAGGCCACAGACACACAGCCTTGGCCAGGTCCTGCAGCCCTGGGAGTCGCCCAGCCGCCTGGTCCACAGCTCTGCTGGGCCCTGGGTGTCGTTTCAGGACCTCAGAATCGCTTTACACTCCTCTGCCCTTGTTTTGTTTTTAGCGTTAAGTGGTTATAAGCTGGCTAATAATCTGGTTTTTCTGGTTACAAAGCAAACGAATTCCCTTTGTAGAATATTCAGGAACAGCCTCAAAGTCTCGAGTAAACATTGTGGTTTCGTCATTCCGGGATACAGTGTCCCATGAGGATGTACTTGCTTTGCGGAGGAGGTGGACGAAGCTGTAACAGTGGTGTCCCTGGGACCAGCATGTGTCCCGGCTGCTCCACTTCGCGGCCAGCTCCCTGCTCTGTGCCTGGAAAAGCAGAGGAGCGCGGCCCAGGTGCTTAGTTAGACCCGGAGGAATATTCTGGCTTCAGCCTGGCCAGCCCTGGTCCTTGTGGCCATCTGGACAGTGAACCATGGCTATCCTTAAATAATGACATCTTGAAGGCTGTGGTTGCCCCTTCTCTTTCCCCGATTGTATATATTGTTGACATTCGGTACCAACTGCGAGGAGCCGTTAAGGACGATGGCAGCCTGCGCGTCCCCGTTGAGGCATTTCCAGGCATTTCCAGGCTTGCCCTGTGCTCGGGGCTCCCCACCTGGCCCTGTGACTCCCCTCCTGGTCCTCGGCACGGCTCCCGATGTGCGTCCTCTGCTTTGGTGTCGCCTTCTGCTGCAGACTGAACGCTCTTTGAAGGGAAGGAGCGTTTCTGGTCCCCACCACCCGGCCTTGTGCCCGACGTGTACATGAAAAGCTAGAATTAGAAGTTTATTTTGGTGCATAGAAGTTCTTAAATTCATATATTTTTTTTTTCATAATCTGCGTTCCCCTGACCCTCAAAGGCATGCATTCCACTTTTTGGGGGG